CCTGTCCCTCTGCAAATGAATATGGCCTTTTTAAAGGACATCACTTAGGGTAGGATGAACAGAATAAAACTGAGCAACCTCGTCATCAGGCTTTGGCACCTTTCCAGGAGAAGTAAATTAAATTGACAAAGGAGTGAGTATGATTTTATGCCTTCTATAGATTTTTGACTAAAGTATTTCTTTTAAATAACATCCAGAGCTTGCCTACAATTCTCTGATATGAGATTTCAGAGCAAAAGGGGAATATAATTTTCAGTAAGAAATTGGAACTGATATTGTGTTCATAAATCAACTTTGTACAATAGACATTTTAATGTGTATTCTTTACACAAAATTATCTGCAAGGTTTCCTGAAAATTATCCTTACGGGATCAGAAACAGTTCCCCAAACATAAATAATTGCAGTTTGGTTGAGTCCTCTCCAAGAGGCTGTACACAGGAGTATGCACTTGGAAACAAAAATAAATTCCCTCCTTTGCTGGTTCAAGGGCTTAATTATTCCTATAAATAATGCATAAATTCCTTTCCTTCATTAAATGGAACAAGAAAACGGAAAGCAATGCTTTGTAAAATGTGAACAACAGTATTTGTCTGCTGTTCAAATTCACATAGTATTGGTTAGTTATCAAATCACCCAATCACAGAATAAAATTTGATCAAAAGAAAAATGATAAATTGGGCAGCAAGATTGGAAACCCAGTTTGGTCTAGTGGTTAAGACTTTAGGCTAGAAATAAATATTTGATTAATGCAAGACTTGGTACATCTTACGTAGCAGCAGCACCAGAAAAGAAAAATGGTATAGTTATATATTTGAAAAGAGACTTAGTTGCTAAATTAATTGAAGCAGACGATCAAGGAAGATTTTTAGCGATAGAACTTTTAGTAAAAGGAGAAAAAATACCTGTAATCGGAATTTATGCCCCGAATCAACAAGAAAATTTTTATAATTTACTACACTCAAAATTGACACAGTGGGCATATAAAACTTGTATCCTGTTAGGCGACTGGAATGGTGTTTTAGACGTTAAAAAAGACAAGAAGGGACCTAAACAAAATGTGTTAACAAGAGCAAAATTGCCCAAAGCGTTTTGGGAAATGATGGATGACTGGGAGTTGAGAGATATTTGGCGTGAAAGAAACCCGGAAGAAAAAGATTTTACTTTTTTTCCAGATAGACATCAATCCTTTTCAAGGATTGATTTTATATTAATTACTAATGATCTTTTATCTAGGGTGAAAAATACGAAGATTTGCTCAAGAACATTGACAGACCATAGTCCAGTTTGGCTGGAATTGGAGTATGAGAAAGGGCCTAGGAGGTCCTGGAAGTTAAATGATAATTTGTTTAGGTATGAAGAAAATGTAAAAGAGTGTAAAAAATTTATGAAAGAATTTTTTGTTATGAATATGCAAAAGGGCATATCGATGGAAATGGTATGGGATGCAAGCAAGGCATATATGCGAGGAATTTTGATATATTTGAATAATAAATATAGAAAGAAACAGGGGACAAAAAGAAAAGAATTAGAAGATGAGATTAGTAAACAGGAATGGGCTTTAGTAGCTAATCCAACAGATAAGAAAATCAAAGAGGCAATCAATTTATTGAAAGGTCAATTTAACATGTTAATAGCAGATCAAGTGGCAACTAATTTAAGATATGCAAAACATAATACTTTTTACAATGCCAATAAACCAGGCAGGTGGTTAGCATATTTGTTAAGGAAAAAGCAAAAATCAAGGACAATAGAGAGAATAAAATATAAGGGTAAAGAGGTTTATGAGCAACAATTGATTAAAGAATCCTTTTTAGAGTTTTATTCGAGGCTGTATACTGGTGATAAAATTAAAGATATGGATATAGATAGATATTTGCAGAAAGAGAATATTTATACAATTTCAAATGAACAGAGGGATAGTTTAAATCAATTGATAACTTCCGAGGAAATTGCATTAGCAATTAAGCAGTTGAAAGTGGTTAAAGCTCCTGGGACGGACGGTTTGACGGCTATTTACTATAAAACCCTACAGGAGGAAATGATAGAACCATTGAAAGAATTATTTAACAATATACAACAGGGAGGAGAGGTACCTCCAACTTGGAAGACAGCATTTATCTCGTTGATCCCAAAAGAAGGGCATGATGATACAGATCCTAAAAATTATAGGCCAATTTCATTATTAAATACAGACTATAAAATATTTGCTAAAATTTTGGCAAATAGATTAATGACAGTCATGCAGCAAATGATTCACCATGATCAAACTGGTTTTATAAATGGTAGACAAATGAAGGGTAATGTAAGGCAAATTGTTAACTTATTAGAGTATTTGGGAAGGAACAACCAGGTCCCTGCAGTGCTTGTGTTCTTGGATGCTGAGAAAGCCTTTGATAGATTGAATTGGCAATTTTTACTAAAACTAATAGAAAGGATGCAATTTGGAGAACAATTTGTACAATCTATTAAGGCAATATATCAAAAACAAACAGCGCAAATAATAGTTAATGGTGGTTTAACAGATGCCTTTAACATAGAAAAAGGAACAAGGCAAGGCTGTCCTTTGTCCCCGTTATTGTTTATTTTGACGCTGGAAACTTTATTAAACAAGATACACGAGATGAATACAATAAAGGGAATTAAAATTAGACAGCATGAATACAGGGTACGAGCATTTGCGGATGACCTGGTTGTTACCCTAACCCAACCGGTACAATCGATTACAGCCTTGATGGATATAACCTGCTTATATGGACAAGTATCTGGTTTTAAAATAAAGGTAGCTAAAACAAAAATAATAGCTAAAAATATGGTTAGGAGCCAAAAAGAAGAGATAGAAAGGTTAACAGGATTTGAAGTAGTTAAGAAGGTTAAATATCTGGGGGTCTATATTATGACTGCAAATACGAAATTATATCAGTACAACTATGAACCATTATGGCACAAAATACAGAAAGAGTTGGACAATTGGAAAAAACTACAACTGTCTTTGCTGGGAAGGATAGCTGCTGTAAAAATGAATATTTTACCAAAATTTCTATTTCTTTTTCAAATGATACCTATACTTAAAAAAGATGAAAACTTGAAGGAATGGCAGAAGGGCATAAATAAATTTGTGTGGGCAGGGAAGAAACCACGAGTCAAACAAAAGATATTGCAAGATACTAGAGAAAGAGGTGGTCTTAAGATGCCCAATTTAAGATTGTATTATGAAGCTGCTGCCCTCTCAGCTATCACAGATTGGATAAATTTAACAGAGGAAAAGATATTGAATATTGAAGGATATGGTTTGGTTTATGGCTGGCATGCTTACTTAGTGTATGATAAGAAAGTAGATAAGACTTTTAAAAGTCATATATTAAGAAATGCTCTATTGCGTGTCTGGAAAAAGTATAAATATAAACTAAATGATAGGTTACCAATATGGACAGTACCCAGACACGCGATAGAGAACATAAATTTAGAGCAAAAGCAAGATAAGATTACATATAAGGAACTCCTTTATAAGGAAGGAGTCAGACTAGTGTTAAAATCCATGGAACAACTAAGAGAAGAAGGGATTATTAAAACTTGGTTTCAATATGGACAGCTGCTGGCCAGATGGAGAGAAGATCAAAAAATTGGTATTTTGCAGCAGGATGAGAATTTGATAAAGCAAATAAGAGATGAAGGTCAAATGCACATAAAAAGGTTGTACAATGCATTACTGGAAATAGACTCAGAAACAGACTTAGTCAAGGATTGTATGATAAAATGGGCACAAAATGTAGGTGAACCAATAATGATGGAAACATGGGAAAAGATATGGGTTAGAAATGTAAGATTTACACAAGCACAAAATCTAAGGGAGAATTTTTACAAAATGTTTTATAGATAGCATTTAGATCCAAAAAAACTAGCTTGTATGTATCCAAATTTACAACCCAAGTGTTGGCGATGTGAGTGTGAAGATGCTACATATTTTCATATATGGTGGACATGTAAAAAGATTAAGGCTTTTTGGATAAAAATATGGTGGATTATTCAAAATATTTTGAAGAAAAAAATTAAATTTACACCACAGTTTTTTCTGTTGGGAATAGTTACGGATTGTACTGTAATAGAGACTAAGCTGGTTTTGAACTTAATAACAGCTGCCAGGTTACTGGTGGCACAGTACTGGAAGAAGGAAGATCCACCTACTATTGAGGAATGGACATTAAAAGTTGTGCATTTGGCGGAAATGGCAAAAATTTCATCATACCTTAAAGACCATTCAAATGAGAGATATATATCGGAATGGAGAAAATGGATTGATTACATACAGAAGAAGTATCCGAATAAGAAGCTTCATATAGCTTATGAATGAAATAATATTAAGTAGTTTATGTTTGTTTTTTCTGAGTTATAAGGAGTTAAGGACCTAGGGAGAATATGAAATGTAATAATTTGTTAGCACATTTTAGTTTTTGGTTTGTGAATGCTATACCCTGTGCTCGTTCTGGGAAGTCTAGGGAGGGGGTGGGGGGAAGGAGGGGAAGGGAGGGTGGGAAGGGGAGGGTGGGATTGAGGGGGGAAGGGTGGGGGGGGGGTGAAAATGTTTGTATTTTTCATAAAACTTTTCAATGAAAAAAAAAAGACTTTAGGCTAGAAAGCAGGAGACCGTGTGTTTAAGTCTCATCTTAGCCATGAAAGCCAGCTGGGTGACTTTAAGACAGTCCCTCTCTCTCTCAACCCAACCCATCTCACAGGCTTGTTGTTGTGGAAAAAATAGAAGGAGGAAGATGCCTTGAGCTACTGGTAAAAATAATAAAGAGAGATTCAAATAAATAAATAATAAATACAGTGCACTGTTTATGTTTATAGATACTGGGGTAAGAAACAGTTCAAAGATATACTATGCAGTTGGGGAGTTCCAGTTTAAGTAGAATACAGTTACAAATGGAACGGTTAGATCAATAATAATCAAATTAATCATTTGATTAAACCTTATAGGCAAATCTAGAAAAATTCTCCTAACCTGTGTTCGTAGCAAGAATAACATGAGCTTTTTGCAAAGTTTCAGACATAGCCATTTCTTCTCGTTCCTTCAGTTCCTTTCTCAGTATCTTAATTTCATTAAAAAAATGTTTTCTCTCTCCTTTGTCTTGGGTCTTCCTGGTTTTCATCTGCATAAGAGAAACAACGATCTCAGCACAGCACATATTTAGTAGTCAAGATAATTGTAAAACAGCAGCAGGATTTCTCTTATAAAATGCTATTAGAACATCACAAATGCTTTTTGGGTGGATCTTCTCCAATCCAACCCCATCAACTGTCTGGGGACAATGGGAGTTGTAGTTTAGTATGAACATATGACCACTGAAGTGGTTGATAACAGTACTCATTAAATACTTGATATTTTTTAATGTATACCTGCTTTTCTGCTTATATAAATATTCAAAGCAGCTTACAGTAATAAAAAAACACTACTGTATAATTAATTCTGCATAGTAAAAATCAAAATGAAAATCACTATCATTGAAAGCAATTAACAATCAAAAGTCAAAACTGAAAGAGGGGATTATTTGCCATTTTCCTAAATAAGGGAAGAACAGGAGCCAAATAGTGGAGCAGTGATTCGCAATCTCAGCAGAGATTTAAAATGTGTGGCCTTTCCTAGGCAGCATGCTGGTGACTTGAAGTCCACACATCTTAAAGTTGCTGGAATTAAAAACATTCAGATAGCCCTCACTTAACAAGCCACAATTGAGACTGGAGTCTTGGTGACTGAACAAGGCAGACATTAAGGGAGAAACCCACCTGGGTCCTTTACTCAGTAATAGTGATCCCAGCACTCCTATTGCGGTCATTAAATGATCTTACGGGCGAAGCAAATGGAGTCTCTCACAATGCCTGTGAAGGGATTTTGGGCTGCATGCTTGCTTGGCTCAAGCAGGCACAAAGCTGGCCATTCTTCTTTCCCTGCCTTAGGGAAGCTTTTGGGAGATAGGGAGAGAGGGATTCTGGGGTCCATGTGTGATTGAATTTTAGTTGCCAAGGTTCAAACAGGCATGGACGAGCAAGGAGCTCTTTCATCCAGCTTCCAGAGATGACAGAGAGTGCCAAGTGCTTATTTCATGGTTCAAAAAAATATAAGACAGGGTCTTATTTTCAGGGAAACATGGTAATCAGCAGTAGTTTTCAACCTTTCCTGCCGGCTTCCCTATCGACTCTCTGGGGAGGCTGGCAGGAAAGATGGCAAGTGGCAATCACATGAGAGATAGTGATCATATGTGGGATGTGACATTTTGCGGTAATTGGAAACGCTTTACTTTTTTGAGGCCTTTGTAATTTCGACCTATTGTTAAGCGACTGGTCATTAAGCAAGGACTACCTGCACTGCACTGCAGTGGAATAAACATTCTATAGGCCCATTCCTGAAAACAGAACTGCCTCACCTGTGGCAGTGGGAGCTCCTTCAAAAGAGCCTCTTTTGCCATGCGGGCAAGTTCATAGTGGTATCAACAGTCTCTCAAATAGTCAAAACCATGATAATATAGAGGGATTCAAAATTTCACATCTTAAATTATGTCCAGTAGGCAGCTGGCAACCAGTATAGATTTTTTTTTCTTACACAATGATCCAGTACTTTGCACCAGTTTGTTTTCTGAACATTTTAAGGTTGGGGCAAAGCAAAAAAGGTTGGAGGGGGAAAAAAAATCAGTTTTCAGAGGCAGGGTGAAAAATGAAAGGAATAATTTTTAGAATACAAAGGAGTTGTTATTTAAAGAGAAGTCGCCAAAGTGCTAGTCATTTGCTCTAATTCTTTAGTTTAAAGTGATCTTCTGGTTTCTTACAAAAGTGCATAAATGAAACTTGCTACACTATGAAGTATCATCACTACCAGAAGAACTAAGGGAGGAGTTCTGTCACTGTCACTGTCCTTGTTCTCCATTGTCTCCACTGTCACCTGTCCTTGTTCTCCATTGAGAACTCTTTATAGTTTCTGTGTATAAATTATAAATCCCTTATACTCCTCTGAATAATTAATTTTGGGCCAATCAAGAAAATTATTGAAAATGACTTCAAGGATCCTAGGAATGGTGAGTGTGATGACAACTGACTTTCCATTTAGTGTGAGCCAATCAATCCTTGACCTATACCTTTCATTCTTCATCCTTACAAGTTCTCTAGGGATGTAGTACAGCTAGAATATATTGCATGCCTCTACAGAAGGTTCCAGCTGAGCTATCCTTGGTGAAGAGATTACTCTCAAAATTCCCCAAACCTCATCTTTTATTAAAATCAATTTTCTAGCCCTGAAAAGAACAAAGCAAACAATAAAAATAACATTAAACTTTACAGAAAATCTTAAGTTGAACTGTATTAAAAAGTGCCACTGAACACACTCAGAGTGCTGAGCACAGCAGAATTTAAAAGATAACAAATAAGCAAGCCATTTAACATTTTCTCCTTTCAACCCTCAGATAAATACCCCCCTTTTCTGCCTGCTTTGCAGGTAGTCCTCGACTTACATTTAACGACCATTTGAAGTCACGACGGTACTGAAAAAAGTGATCATTTCTCACACTTATGACAGTTGCAGTGTCCCCCTGATCATGTGATCAAAATTTGGGCTCTTGGCAACCAGCATGTATTTATAATAGTTGCAGTGTCCTGGGGCCAGGTGATCACCATTTGTGACCTTCCCAGGGGGCTTCCAACAAGCAAAGTCAATGGGGAAAGCTGAATTTGCTTAACGACATAATTTGCTTAACAACCACAGTGATTGTCCCAAAGGTGTTTTTTCAAGAGGCAATTGGACTTTCTGGTTTAAAACAACAACAACAACAACAACAGAAAGTACTCAGGAGAGAAGGGCAGAGAAAAACTGAGTGAGGAATCTCAATTTGATCTTAACAGTGCTAGAAAACTTGGGAAAAAGAAAATGGAAAGAAAAGACTGGATCCTAAAGAATCCTGAATGTTCTATAGAATACAGGTAGTCCTCAACTTGCGACCACAATTGAGCCCAAAATTTATGTTGCTAAGTGGAAAATTTGTTAAGTGAATTTGTCCCATTTTATGACTTTTCTTGCCACATTTGTTAAGTGAATCACTGCAGTTGCTAAATTGGTAACATGGTTGTTAAGTGAATCTGGGTTCTCCATTGACTTTGCTTGTCAGAAGGTCGCAAAATGACTCCTGAATACTGCAACCGTCATAAATATGAGTCAAATGTCAAGCATCTGAATGTAAATCACATGACCATTGGAATGCTGCAACTGTCATACATATGAAAAATGGTTGTAAGTCACAATTTTCAGTGCCGTTGTAGCTTTGAATGATCATTCAATGAACTGTTGTAAATAGAGGACTATCTGTATCACGTTACATCAAAGTCAATTACAAAGCTATAGATATTTTTAATTTTGGCCATTCAACCCAACATTGCTTACTGTATATACCTGCTGAGTTTTGATTCAATTTCAAGAAGATACATATTCAATCTATCTTAATACATCTTCCTAGTATTCCATTGCTAATACATCTCATCTTCTCATAACATTACCACCAACAGGATCCTACAAACCGGCCCTATAATTCATCCAGTCGGACGGAGAGTTTAACAGCTAGGATGCAGATATTGCAGGAGTCGGTACATCGCTCTTCACCATCAGATGGATTGGCACATCAGACCATTTATACTCTAGCCATCCACTGTGAGAGGATGGCCTTGACATTATTTCCTTGGTATTCTTGAACAACATAAAACTCCTCCTACTATTATTAGAGGACAATATAGCATTTTCTACCAACAGCTAGATTTACATCTTCCTTCTCTCCAGGACTTTCAGAACTTATGTCATCTTCTTGGCCATTCTAAGATCACCCCTTGGTCACCGGATGTACTCAGCGGCTGAGCTTCTTGCTCTGCGAGATTCCCCCCCTCTCGCAGACCTGGCCCTCCACATTATCGAGGGCCTACCTTGATGATGGATTTTGGAATTCCGAGAGGTGGCATGTTGCAAAGAAGGGGTTGACGGTCTTTTTATCTAATTTCTTATCCAATATTTTAAAGATTTCTAAAATCTTGCAGTGGCCTTGCAGTGATGTCCCGGTGCCTCGAAGCCATGCGGATCTAGATGGGGAGAAACAGGCTCCGACTCAACCCTTCCAAGACCGAGTGGCTGTGGCTGCCGGCGTCCCGATATAGCCAGCTGATACCATCGCTGACTATTGGGGGCGAGTCATTGGCCCCCACGGAGAGGGCTCACAACTTAGGCGTCCTCCTGGACACGCGGCTGTCTTTAGAAGAGCATATGACAGCAGTGGCCAGGGGAGCTTTCTATCAGGTTCGGCTGATTCGCCAGTTGCGACCCTTTCTAGATCGGGACTCCTTACGCACAGTCACTCATGCCCTCATCACTTCTCGTCTGGACTACTGTAATGCTCTCTACATGGGGCTCCCATTGAGGTGCACGCGGAGGCTCCAACTGGTCCAGAATGCAGCTGCGCGGGTGATATTGGGAGCAACATGACGCTCACATGTAACACCTCTCCTACGTGAGCTGCACTGGCTCCCGGTGGTCTTCTGAGTGCGCTTCAAGGTGTTGGTTACCACCTTTAAAGTGCTCCATGGCTTAGGACCTGGGTACCTACGAGACCACCTTCTGCAACCAATAACCTCCCACCAACCAGCACGCTCCCACAGGGTGGCCCTCCTCAGGGTGCCGTCACTAAAGCAATGTCAACTGGTGGTTCCCAGAGAAAGAGCCTTTTCTGTGGGGGCACCTACCCTTTGGAACAGGTTACCCCCAGGGATATGAATGATCCCAGATCTTTGTACTTTCCGTTGTGCACTTAAGACCTTTCTATTTCACCAAGCCGGGCTGGCATAAATCTCTTCTAATTGTTCTAAATCTTTATGCTGAAGATTCTTAACCGATGAACCAAATTGGCTTCATCATCTTATATTCACATTTTATATGTATGTTATTTTAACTGTTCACTGCCCTGAGTCCTTCGGGAGAAGGGTGGTATAAAAATTAAATAAATAAATAAATCATTTCTGCATAGCACAGTATTTATTCCAAGAATACAATGTCACAAAGAAAACTATAGATTTATAGTGCATAGATTTATAGCCACAATTTATTCTAAAGAATGGCTGTAAAAATGTAATACAAAACTTACGAATGCTTGATCTATATCTTTCCTGATATCTGCTACAATCTGGGCATTATCTCCACGCATCAGGACAGCATCCAGTGAATGGTGCTGTATGGACCCCAGGAGACGAGCTGGGCGACCCAGACGCAGGATCCGCACCTTATGATCAGAGAGCCTTTCCACCAAGTTATCGACTGCAATGTTAGAGGGAGCACAACAGAGAACCTAGGAAAAAATATCTCTTTAAACAGTATTAATTCACTTCACTGAAATAGCTACAGTCTTACACAGATTCATATCTATAGTTTACAGAAACACTATAAACATCAATGTCAAAAGGAAAAGAAAGGAGGTTATTTTATAAGTGCCAGGAAAAAATATTATTCTCAAGTCAATGCTGGATCAGGATTTGACCTGGAGTTTGAAGGACTTTATTATAGGCCAGACCTCTAAGCTAAAAGGAACAATACAAATTCATAGGATTGAACCAGGATCAAGGACAAAAGTTACTTTGAGATACTAGTCCCAGCCAAATTTAACTTTTAACCTGCCAAGGAACTTTCAGCTTTGTCTTTTTCTTTTATGTGCCTTTAATTCCAAAGCTTTATTTTTATATCTCACTGAACCTCAGAAGATCCAGGACCTCCTCTGAGCAGGAACAGTTGTGCTTCAGCCAAGAACATAGAGAGAGAGATTAGCAGGGAAAACAAAGATTTTCTAGAAATACAGGTAGCCTGGATGAATTTGTAACACTTCCAAGGTTTTTCCCTAGCTTCTAAGTGGACATAAGAATATTATCCATCGCAAACAACCCAAACTATAAGATAAACATGGTGATTCTTAAAAACTTGTATCCGTGAAATAAAATTATGTATCTTTCTGCTGAGTTTTTGACCGGAGAATCAGACCACATATGACTCCCATATCCAATCTTTGATACTGCCAAATGGCCATTCTCTAGAATCTTCCAAGGTTTATATTATATCCAAATTCCCATACTCATGACCTAATGTTTTTCTAAATGTATTCTGAGCGCAAATGTAAAGATTTTAAAATACCACTGCCACCAACTCAAAATTATTTGTTTCTGTGTTAAGGTTTTATTTTATACTAATATTATCCTACCTTCTATTATTTTTTTTTCCTAGTAGTGTAGTATCATAGAAATGGGAGAGGGTTTAGGTTAGGTTTAGGTTTTATTTGATTTATATACCGCCCTACTCCCAAAAGACTCAGGGCGGTGAACAGCCACAAGATAAAATACATAAATACAAAATTTAAAAGCAGAATAAAACCGAATTAAACAATTTGGCCAAAGACAGATTTAAAACACCTCAATAATTAAGAACAGATTAAAATTTGCATTTTAAAAAGGGAAAAAAGGGAAAAAAATTAGGCCAGGCCAGCCTGATGGAATGAAAAGGTCTTGAGAGCGCGGCGGAAGGTGCGTAGATCCGGGATCCTCCGTATCTCCGGGGGGAGCTCATTCCAGATAGTAGGTGCCCCCACAGAGAAGGCTCTCCCCCGGGGGCCATCAGTCGACATTGTTTGGCCGACGGCACCCGGAGGAGCCCCTCTCTATGAGAGCGTACTGGCCGGTGGGAGGCTACTGGTGGCAGCAGGCGGTCCCGTAGATAACCAGGTCCTAAGCCATGGAGCGCTCTAAAGGTGGTAACCAAGACCTTGAAGCGCACATTGAAGACCACCGGGAGCCAGTGCAGCTCGCGCAGGAGAGGTGTTACATAGGAATGCCATATCGCTCCCATAACCACCCGCGCAGCCGCACTCTGCGCCAGTTGGAGCCTCCAGGTGCTCCTCAAGGGGAGCCCCATGTAGAGAGTGTTGCAGTAGTCCAGGCGGGAAGTAACAAGGGCATGAGTGACCGTGCGTAAGGAGTCCCAATCCAGAAAGGGACACAACTGTCGAATCAGGCGAACCTGATGAAAAATCCTCCCGGTCACGGCCGTCAAGTGGTCTTCTAAAGACAACCGTGAATCCAGGAGGACGCCCAAGTTGCGAGCCCTCTCCGTGGGGGCCAGCGATTTGCCCCCAATAGTCAGTGATGGCACCAACTGACTATATCGGGAGGTCGGAAACCACAGCCACTCGGTCTTGGATGGGTTGAGCCTGAGCCTGTTTCTCCCCATCCAGATCCGCACAGCCTCCAGGCACCGGGACATCACTTCAAGAGCATCGTTGGGGTGGTCCGGAGTGGAGATGTACAGCTTAGTATCATCAGCGTACTGATGGTACTTCACCCCGAAACCACGGATGATCTCGCCCAGCGGCTTTACATAAATGTTGAACAGAAGGGGTGAGAGGACCGACCCTTGTGGCACCCCACATGAGGCGCCTCGGGGTCGACCTCTGCCCCCCCTGCCAACACAGACTGCAACCGGTTGGAGAGAAAGGAGGAGAACCATCGCAACACAGTGCCCCCCACCCCTAACTCTTCCAACCGGTGCAGCACGATACCATGGTCGATGGTATCAAAAGCCGCTGAGAGATCTAATAGGACCAGGACAGAGGAGCAACCTCTGTCCCGAGCCCTCCAGAGATCATCAACCAACGCGACCAATGCCGTTTCCGTGCTGTACCCAGGCCTGAAGCCCGACTGGAACGGATCCAGATACATCATTTCATCCAGGTGCTGGGGGAGCTGTTGCGCAACCACACTCTCAACAACCTTCACAATGAAGCGAAGGATGGAGACCGGACGATAATTAGATAATTAGGGGATTACTTTGTTCAGGTTATTTACCCAGAGGTCCAGTTTATTATGAACAATTAAAACTTTATTTAACAACAGAGAGCATTGTGAACAGAGAATGTTGGAAATTGTAGTTTAACACACACAAAACTCTTCCTCTGAGCATAATATTACCATACTGTAGTTTATTTTTCTATAAGGGTTACCAATTATTATTTGTTTTATATTTACAGTTCAATTCCTTTTCCTTTATTTTCTCTCTTTGTAAAATTATTCCTTTCCTCTCCCCTCACCCCAAAACCTTTTGGACACTTTGTTAAAAAATAAGCCAGTTAACTTTTCACTTAAATTATATTAAAGGTATCAACCTACTGTTCTATTACATACCTCCCTTTTAAAGTGAAGGATGGAGTTATCAAGCATCCTCATATTTTTCTATAGTAACAAATGCATCATTATTGCACATAGCATTCTTTCAAACATTCACATACAATTCCACACAAAGTTATGTACAAGCTTTTCATCAGTTCCAAGACTGTTTCCCCCCAAATATTAGTTCTATTAGTAATGGACAATACAATTAAGTATTGACTACATCCAAATATGAGGCATTTGGCCAGCAGTTCATGGTCCCAAAGCCTATTTCTCCCTTTTTCTTTCTCTCTCTCTCACACACACCTACTCTGCAAGTCTTATATGTATGCCATTTCTTGCACATGCCTTCAGAAATTGTGGGTGCTCCATCACTGGAAGTTTTTAAGAAGATACTAGACAGTCACTTATCTGAAATGAAGGTCAGGGGCATCAAACTCACAATGACACATTGTCATCATGTGACGTATTGCAACTTTCCCCTTCGTTAAAAGGGGATGGGCGTGGCCAGTGTGTGACAACATCTGGCCCGTCAGTCGTGAGTTTGACACCCCCGGTATAGGTTCTCCTGCTTTAGCAGAGGACTGGATTAGAAGACCTCCAAGGTCCCTTCCAGCTCTATTCTATTCTAAATTCTAATACTCTGAGAAAAGCATGATTACCATCTGTATGTATTGTGACCGTTTGCAATTCACCTGCCATACTGGACTTAAAACACTAAGAAGGTGCTATAAGCATGAAAGAGGCTGCAGGTCTATTAAGAACTGTAGGCAATAACTCAGCCAGCTACTTCCCACCTCCTGCTTTAACCAAAGCTGAAATACGCATTATTTGAATGGCAAGATTCACCTTCCATTCTTGCCTCAGAATAGTACGATGGCTTCAGAGACCTAAGTTTCCAGGCTAAATCTGACCTGGAAATAGACATCTCCTCAGAAAATGTATTCCTTCACTCACTTTCAAGCCTTGCTCCACAGCTTGGAGTATTATCTCTACCACAGTTGTCGTCTTGCCAGTTCCAGGTGGTCCGTGGATGAGAGCAAGTTCCTTCTGTGCCAATGAAAAGCAAACAGCCTCCTTCTGAGAGGCATCCAGGGATTCATCGTAGAACTTCAAAAGCTCTGTAAGCAACAGGAACATTTGTTCAGATCTCAGTCTTACCAAGAACATTTGTGAGAAAGCAAGTACAATACAAATAAGAGGCTGTTTTTGGACATTGACCAGATTCTCAGCAAAGGAAGCATCCTGATAATTACTAAGAGCAATTCTAAGCCCCCACTGAGACCAGGCATCTCACAAGAAAGTTTCTGTTTTACTGCAAATATTTTCAGTCTTTAAAAGAATAACAGAAGATTAATGTGCTTTTAACAGCCCATTGCCTTTAACTATTCCACCATACAAAATACATTCTTACTAGGAAATTCCTTGAAAAAACACAGACACCTTGGTTTCCTAAAAGTACAAATGTTTTAAACAATATGCTGAGCCAAAACCCTAATTATAGCTTTGAACACTAATATGTAATTAGATGAGCAGCAGAGTTTCATAGAACAACTGCTAACAATTCATTAGACAGTGACGGGAGAAGAGCAAGTAGCACTACCTTGAAATGGCCAACAGACAATGGTGGCTGCTGAAAGGATGCAAGGAAAATACTCTTTAGTCAGTTGGAAAATGCGCCACCCTGTGTGTGAGAGAGAGAAGGGGGGGGGTCCTAGCTACAACAATGGAGCTAACAGGTATGAATATCAACTTCTGCCTTGTTTTCCTGAGACCTCATGTTTTGAGTGCTGTGCAAACTTTAAAATAACTACATAAATGTCTATACCTTTATTTCTTAATTCAGGACCACCCTTTTTTTCTTGATGATAGTTGCAGGGGAGGGAGTGAAACTGTCAATTAACATCCTGTGTAACATTTCACTTCTGCCTCTAGTATGCAGCCCCAACTGGAATGGGGAAAGGGAACTTTCAGAAGACCCTCACTTTTGTAAAAAATGTTATATGTTATTTTTTTCTTTGGGTGTATCTCAGGAACTGATATTATGCCAATGTTGTTATTTTTGTTGCCATTATCATTATTATTCCATGATTATTATTCCTGTCCACCTCCTCCTCATCCCACCAACTTTTCAATTGCAAAGATGAGGAGGCTTTTAGCTTGTTTGATGCCAGTATTGCAGGAAGAAGCAGAAGAACATTTATTCACCCAAATCCGGAGGAAATCAACTAAAATATAAACAGCAATTTTATATATAGGGGAGCAGTTGGTAAGTAGGAGTTGTTGTCATTGTTAGTTTGGCAAATGCTACTGGAATAGGCATTTTTAATTTCAAACTGGCAAAAGACACTAAATGGACAATTTAATTCCTCTCTAGCTATAGGAGCTGGTACATCAAAAGGGGCAGCAATACCACTTTGCTGGATCAGGATGCCAAAAGTTTTTGCAATCTGAACAGCAAGAAAATAATTCTCTCTCCAAATTTGCTGCTGCTAAGATGCCCGATTGGAATGGCTCTTCTGCAAGTGGAGAGGTGCTAGCATTACAGTTTTACCATACAACTGTTTCTCAGGCAGATTTTATTAAAATAATGCAAATAGCAAGTTTGTTTAAAAATACAAAAAGCAGATGTTTGTAAAATCATAGTAATAGCAAGTTTTGTAATGATTGGTAAAGAATATGTTAGAAAGTTATCACCATCCTATATTTCTAACTATTTTTTATAGATAATCCAAGCCAGGGTTCCCCAATTCCCCGTCTATGGACCGGTACTGGTTTGCAGCCCATTGGGAACTGGGCTGCGCAAATGGCGGACAAACGCGCAAAACTATCCCTTCCCCCGCCACTGCTGCCAGTTGACGGAACCAGAAAGGTTGGGAACTGCTGATCCAAGCTACATGTCGTTTTAAGCTTTTTTGCTTTGTTTTATAATGTTTTTATTGTTAAAAATGTCACATGCACAATCAAAATTTCTTTTAATGTCTAAAAATAAGAACCTTTAAATAAATCCTCTTTCCACATATAAAATCAACCTTTAAAAATTGTTGTGAACACTTGAACACCTTAAACTTTCCATTAGTTTAACATGAGCTTTAGGGACTTTTCATTTTTTTTAAAAACATACTTTTAGTGCATTTTCCATTTACCATATTTATGTTCTATTTCTTGCTGATGTGTAAGGCAATATTGCAGCCCTTAGCAAAACAGTACAAATGAAGGATTCCAGCTCTTGTGACAGCATGAATGAGCTCTGGTTTGTTAGTCATGACTAAGCTACACCTTCAAAAGCCAAAAGTCCTATACATCACGAATGCTAAAGAAGCTTTTGGCTCCACTTGGCATTTTATACTGCATTCTAAGTTATTCATAAGATCGGATTCATTTATCAGCTGACAAATGCAGAATGAGGGAAGGCATGTCAGGCAAGCTGATAAGGTGCCTATTTGCCAAGGTGCATAAATAATTACTAGAGAAAATTATAATGCATTCGGTATTTTTCTGCAGAACAGATTCAAGAACAGGACAGTGCATCTATGATGCACATGAGAAATATGGGATAGTTTTAGTAAAAAGACAGAAGTTTTTTTACCACATTAAGTTACCTAAAAGATTAATTCATGGAACAAATTCTGTTTCCAATCACAGCAGTGATTTTGCCCCAGTATTTAGACTTCTTATTTTTCACAATTCACTAAAGGTGTAAGCAATTTATAAAGTGCCATTTTTATGTTTTCTCAAGGAAAGACTGCAAGTGTTAGGGAAAACAGAAAAAGAGGCAGTATTTACTGTCAATCTCAAAGTATATCATGATTTATGGCAAGTTGGTTTGGGCTTTTTCTGCACACCTTCTTTTGGATTGTATTACTTGAATGCTAGTAATTACTAGTATTTAAGAAAATGGACCTGTTTTTTGCTACAGGGCTGAAATTCAGTTACTTCTGAATGACACCAAGTGCACCTGCACACAGCTAGCAAAAAACATAATGCTGAAGAAAGTAATGTATGTACACATTTATTTGTGTGTAAGCTTTAGGAAACTGCCTTCAGGTAGTTTCAAACAGCAAAATTTGCTATTTCTTTTATGACCCATCCCTTCTAAGAATGTAGGAACTGCTGTACAGCACCAAAGGGCTGCTCAGTCCAGCATCTCCTCCTACTATGGTGACCTAATGGCAAGGCTAAGGCAGGACAGGAGTACAACAGCATACTCTTGTTTCTGTTTCCCAGTTAAAACAATCAAAGCATCACATTTCTAACCTTTTCCTTAATACATCAGGATAAAACAATTCCCAAAATCTAACTGGAACTATTTAAAACATAGAAGAAAAACCACTCAACCACTAAAAGTAGTCCAGGAGCACCTGCAAGGATTCGATTGCTTACACGAGCCTTTACCACAGATAAAAACTCATGTAAGATTGATCTGATGTTCTAGTTGGTTGGAATTCAGTGTGATCAAATGATTATAGGAAATGATGAAGGGAAAAGAGGCACACCTGCTGTCCTTGATTCTTAAAAGGCAGCACTCACTCAGTTCTCTGATCATAAGGATAGGTCGGATAAAAAGACATCTCAGTACAAAAGAGAATCTGACAAGAAGAGAGAGATGAGCAGCACAGAAATTATCAGAATTTGTCTGGCTTTACAGGGATGCCTAAATCTGTTTTTTTTCTGCAGAAGCAGCACATTTTGGGAAAAGTGACAATAGCGCTCTTATGGCTGTGCTGCTCATAGAAAAATGCTGACCTCTGGTGGTTACCAACTGTCTTTATATATGATTCCCAAATTCTAGGTTTCTCTATTTCTGGCTTTCTGGGTACTTGTTTTTAAATGTAGATGAGTTTTTAAAAGTATTCTCTCTCTTCTACTCAGAATAGAATAACCCATTTTATTATATGTTTTTTCTGACATACTAGCCAGAAAATGATTGGCCTTTATTTCTATTGGTTGGCCTTTATACGTGTGTGTGTGTGTGTGTGTGTGTGTGTGTGTGTGTGTGTGTGTAGGCTTCATTTTAACTTCTACTGATGTATACGCTAAAGTATACAACAGTACAAGTACGCTAAAGTATGTTTTATAGTTTAACATAGCGATCAGGTTCACGGTTCACACAACAATAATCAAACCATTGTGTGCCATTATTATTACACCAGAAAGGAGGCATTATATGACTGTGATCTTTTCCTCATAGACAGGCTTGCTCTTTTATTTATTTAAAATGACTTATATAGCCATCTATAATTTTTGAGGTCATTTAAGTTGTTTCACTCAAGTTAAGGGGAAAAAAATCTCTCTACAGATTTCAGTGTAAGTATATTACTATGCTTGCTAACAATAGGAATTGTGTCTACTGGCTTAATTGGGTTCTCGATAAATGGAAACAGAAAAATAAAAAGTCCGTTTATGAAATGTTGAACATTATCTGCATAGGATCTATAAAGACAAATGGAGAGTACACAGCATGAATGCTGGGTGGACATCATCTGGTTTTTGGATTATGAGTATGAGAGAGGTGATAATAAGCAAAATTAGAAAATGTGGTTTGATTTTATACCAGAGGGGGAGGGGCATACACAAGCAGAATCAGATTTTTGTTCTTCAGAATTAATGAGAAATATACAAATGTGAAAAAGCAAGTTTAGATGCTTGATTTAAAGAAAGTAGATTCTAAATAAGTTTGAATTATGGAATGCTTTCTGGGAATATGGGATTGAAGATTTGCTGAATGCAATAAAAGCAGTGTACTGTATATACTGAGACTAAGGCTTAGATGAAAATAAATGAAATGCTTCAGCAACAATACACTAAACAGGAGCAAAGCCTGAGGTAATTATGTTCAACTAGGAAAATGCAAGAAACAATTACAAGTTACGTCTAAATGGTGAAAAACAAAACAAATGGACACATTTCTGATCCTTGCTAGAATGTTTACTAAAAGTGGAAAACTAGAGGGAGAATTGTCAAGATATGCAATCTCCCACACTGTCTAAGCCTCAACAATCACCCTGCGTTAATGTGTTATGCCTTAGCAGGATGTGAGAATCTAGTCAACAACTATAATTTTGATAAATGAATGCACATTTGTACTTGTGTTATGAAGATCTATAAAGACAATACAGAACAATACTTGCCCAGATATAAATGCTTACTCTCTATGAAATAAATATTTATATTTGCTTAATATATGCCAGGTCAATGCAAAATGGCACTGAACAAAGAAAATGATGTTCAATTGTATCTTTTCTTCAAAAGGCATCACAGAGGGCAAGAGAGGAAGGCTTTTTAGGGACACCAGTTGTGGATTAAATCATGCATACTGAATAACTTTATTTCCATAGATTTTTCAGCATTCATTAAAGAAAAAAAAGAGAAAAAGTTCTTACTTGTATCACTGGCACCACTAGGTTCAGAAGAACACAACAGCACATCAATAAGATCAGATGCTGGACCAGACCCATAGTGATTAAGTGTACTTAAAGCCCTTCCAAAGAGAAGAAAATAAAAGGAACTGAATCTTAAAGACGACTCCCCTTCAAAGCTTAGGAAACACCACCAAACAATAATATCTTAAATAATTACAAATGCTGTGTGATCAGCTTGAAATGACATATTGTAGTCTCAGAACCATACTAAAACTTCCCAGGAACTTAGTATTATCAGTCTTGTAAAATTAAATTAGCTTCTCTTCCACTAACTCCTTCATCCAGGGCTAAAAAAACTTCCAACCACATGCCAACTTAACCCAATAGGCACATGCCAGTTGGAGCCTACTTGTTTCATCGTTTTCACAAGTGAAAGGCTCAGATTATGAACATATGTTGCCAACATATGCACTACAAAGTGTATGACAAAAATGCAGCCACCAATATACAAGTGAATAAAAAATAGAGAAATATTCATGCATCTTTAAATTCCAGAACCCAGGAAAATGAGGCTATCATCCAAAATCTCAGTACAATGGAACAAATGGACAGGTATCTCCCAGCTATACCTCGCATAACTATTTTCCTTACTTCTTTTCAAGCGTTCTGGTTATTAAATAATTTGTTATTCTTTGTTTAAGACATAAAAGTTCCATAATCATTCTTTGTTAATTTTACCTTTTGAGTCTGTTGTATGTAACATCATTGGCAAGTTTCAACAGACGGTACAAATTCTCCTGATCTAAACTCACAAGGTTACTCTGAGGCTCATCAACTGCGATAGTAATTGAATTGGAGGCTGTCCGGGTGACAATTCCTGTGCAGATCTGATTATTTTGTCCAGCTGCTTCATAAAGTCCCACTATGTCACCTGCAGGAGATAAATGATGACAAAGAATAAAATTAGAAGACAGAAAAGGTACCTCATATAAAAGCAAAGGCATTACAGCCTATCTGAAGAAACCACAAATATATGAAGCTCATCATTCCTCCAGCAACAAACAGGAATAAATCAACAATAAAGACAAAGAGAAGTGAAGCATCTAAGATACATCATTGGGGTAAACAATACATTGATTCTCATTCAATCATTGATGAGACAACTCAGGCAAGACCTAAATCTGAAATGGGAGAAGATTATAATGCTAATAAGAGAAAATTTAGCAGGCATAATAAATTAATACAAAATTTAAGGAAATGTCAAAGCAAATGTCTAATAAAGTTTAAATAGGTAGCCAATCATATGATTCTAGCATACAGAATACATCTAAGATAGAAAAGGTTCAAAAAAGATATTTCAAATAACAAGATAAATTTGGCGAATTTACAAGATCAGAGTACTGCAAAAGAAATAATCTAAGGGTCAGAGATTTTAGAGAAACTGCTGAGAATGTTAATATAATTGATTATTTGGTGACAAAACTTAATGAATTGTTTCCTGATCTAAAACCTATGGATAAGAATATTGACTATGCAAATAGAATGTTTGCTTCACGAAGATACAAAGACTGTGAGACACATTGTATCAACATTTCTCACTGCATGCATAAGAGACAAACTTAAATGAAAGAAATATGAGCTACAAGACATAAACCAAGAAGGAAATAGTAGTGATGTTATTTCAAGATATCACCAGGATAAGCTATAGAAAAGGAAACAGTTCCAAGAAACTAAATAAGGAATAAATGAAGGGTTCCTTTCAAATTAATTATTTAAACATTCCAATTATTTCCTTTCTGAGTTTTGAATATTTCTGTTCTTCAAAAAATGAGCAGTTTTGATATAAAAATAAATCCTTATTTTTCCTTTTTTTGCTGTAATTTTGTATTTGAACTTTATCTTTGAAATTATATAGCTGTATATGCATATGTATATACAGAGAAAGAGAGAGAGGAAGGGAGGGAGGGAGGGAGGAATGGGAAGGGGAGGAGCCAAGGCAAGATCCTTAACAGGATATACAGTTGACAGACACAGTAGCGGAGGTGGCAGATAATGGGGAATCCCAATGACTGGAATGGGCTGGACTAAAAGATAGTGCTGGTCATAGCAGCACAAGAACAAGTACTAAACACCAGATCCACAGAAGCAGGGATCTACCACACTAAAAAGGACCAATGCTAGCAGGCTATGTAGTGTTGGACTATCTATGCCTCAAAGATAGTCCAACACAAAGTGGCAGAGTGTAAGATGTAGGTAGGAATGGCATAACCGAGTAACTTGCATTGTGTACAGTAACATCTGTACAGAATATGGACTAGATCCTCATAAACCTAAATGGGGGATCCCACAACCTTTTGTTCCCACAAAAGTTTGTGGAGAATAAGAAAGCTTAAAATCCTAGGGGACTCCCAGAACCAGACGGACAGGCAGGCACTGGTTTCTCAACCATTGCAACTTGAAGATGGGATTTTGGAAGCTGAAAGCCACCCGTCTTAAAGTTGCCAAGGTTGAGAAACACTGATCTAAATTATATGAAAAATGAATTAATATTGGCAAAAAAATCCTTGTGAGTGACCAAGAAAGTTTCCTTGAATGTAGAAGTTTAAGAATTCTAATCAAAAGAACTAGAATTAGTAAATATTTGAAATATTTAAATACATCAGTAGTAATGCTATAAGAAATATATATATAAAGAAAGGCATTAACTATGATTATTTTATAAAAATATTTTCTGAGAGTACAAATAAATCAAGCACAAGATGGCAAATTAAATGAAATCAATTTGAATTTTATAGTAAAACATACAAAAGGATTGGAGGTTTAGTTTTATAAAGGGAAATGGGACAACTAAATATTAACACTTGCTTCGATATACACTAATCTAGGACAAATACATTTCTTTCGGAAAGTAACTCAACATTTAAAAGATTTGGTATAGAGAACTTGATTATTAGGAAGAAATTATAACTGCAGGCATAATTTAGGGAAAATGGAACACAAAAATTTACAGGCAAAATTCACTGTATAAAAAGGCTTCCAAAAATTGTGCAGGCTCAAAATTTACTTAATACATAGGAATTATGAATCCCCAATCAAATCGATTTACATATTACTGAAACAGATTATCTTACTCAAAAATTGATTAGTTATCGGCTTCTAAATTCTAAGTCATATTCAACAAGCTGAAATGTGGCAATTTGTAGATTAGACCATGCACTGGTGATCCTAAAGTTGAAATGAGATAACATACCTTACTGTTGGCATTTCAATTCTGTCTTAACCCTTAATCAAACAACAAAACAAAACTTCAGGTACTAAAACTTTATTTATAGAAAGTTATACAAAACAACCTATTGCAAAAAATGTATTTAACTTTAACCCATTTATTTGGGGGCAAAACTCAAGGCAGCACTCATCTCTATTGTTTCTACCTCCTATTTTCCACATAACAACAGTGTGAGATTGGTTAGGCTAAGAGAAAGTAATTGGCCCAAAGTCATCCAGCTGACTTTCATGCCTAAGGGAGAGGTAATTTAATATATAATATTAGAAGTTTATATGTTGTAGAAATAGCACAGTGAACCATCATTTGACAGGATCCAGAGAGACTATGCAGCATTTATTTTTTTTAAAGGATACTAAAGTCTTCTGTCAACTCACAGGACATGTGGAAATTATAATAATGTATAAGGAGATTACAACATTTTGATGCTAAACTGGTGCAGTGCCAATCAAAATGCAATAGTTATTAAGATAAGGTTTTAAAATGACTGAATTGTACAGAAAAATGGGCAAGTATCATACTCGAAATTTGCCTGGCCATCCTTTTGCTACCTTTCATAATGTTCCAATGTACTCAAAAATAACATAGCAAATAAGATTTTTCAAAAGCCCTCATGCAGACTATAGTCTGTACTGATGAGACTGAAAGTAGGTCATGTCCGATGGATTCATCAATTATGCATCAAGAGAATCCAGGCTTTCATAAGCAAAAAATACTCCTCCTGGTTGGTTACTGAAATAAACTATATGTAAAGCAATAATAATTTATTAACCATCACAAGACACAAAGGAGGCAAAACTGTCAGTCATACCAAGTGACATTGCTACCCATCTGAGGAGAATCCACTAAAATTAACTAGGGCACCTTATATTCCTTTTAACTCTTTCCAAGGTTTCTCACTTTTAATTCCCAGTGTGTGCTAAAATTCCAGCACAGAGCTCAGAAGAGCTCCAATGCAATGGCAAAATCCACAGGCTCCAAAACACATTTTGCCATTGGGAGTTCTTTATCCATGGTCAAAACTTGAATACACAAGAAAACTCTTTGGCTAAACAAAGCTGCTCTGAGGTAATCCCTATTTTTTTTTAATTCAAAAAAGTAAAAGCAGGAGCATTGAAAGCCCCAGCATTGAAACCCACAGCTTTAGGGGGCAGTTCAGAATCATTACTTTGAGCTCTGACTAGCATCATCCAGAAAAACAAAAGCCTTCCAGAAAACCCTGGAATGATGCTAGAAGCCATTCTTGGCAGATACCATAAATATTTTGAAACACTGATACAGACATTATGCCTCTATGTAAATATAAGAAATGTAAGAAACATACATTCTTACATGCCATTCCCATTTTGGTAAAAAAAAAAAAAAAAACACCTGTATCCACTCTGTTTACCAGTGAGAATACATTCTGTTTTGGAAAATGATTGAACTGTCAATGAAACTGATTAGCTCAATTGTTTAAATATAAGCTGTGGGGCATCTTTCATCATAACAATTTTAATGTAAGCTGTCATTATTCAATGAATCTATTCTCCTTTAAGCCATAAGAAATGCCCTGTGCAAATTCACACATTACCCTCCACATGTATCTGATTTATTCACAACAAGAAAAATGCAATTGTGCATTATTGAACCCAAGATTGGAGGTTCACCCCCTAGCAACTCTGAATCTAACAGAGTATGTGTCTTTAGCACATAGTTTCAATTTAGAAAACTTGCCCCTCAGAAACAACCTGTCTTGAACTGATGTGCTTTTCAAAGTCTCTGAAGCTCTTTTCAAAGCACATCCTTGTCTAATTCTGCACATATCCTATTTCTAAACAGCATTTTAAAAAGACAAAAATTATCTTCCCGATTACTTCTTTGATACACAGTTAATTCAAACATACAATTAATTAATTATACAATTAGTCCAACTGTCTGTGGCAAGGGAAAAGAATGCCGGGAGGGTCTTGAATCTCCTTTTTAAACAAAAAAAATACCCTTGAGATTCAAAACTGATCTAAATTGAAAAATATGCCTAGAACCCCTTGTTTTACAGGACTGTCCAGTCGGCAGCTCAAGTGTATGCGTGTGTGTGCATGTGTGTGTCCATTAATGCAGTACTGTGCATGCAGTAAGTAGCATTCTCAGTGACTGCAACATAATGGAAAGATGTTTAATAAAGCTCTTGGAAAATAGCACTTTTTAGGCTACAGTCATTTGATTCATAAACTGTAATAAACCTTATAATGTTTGGTTTTGGGCTTCTGAACCCAGCCACTGTGGTTGGTAAACTATGATTTATGGCTTAAAATTTTATTAAAATTATGTTTGAACTATGCAATTAATACAAATCATGCCTTAACATGATGTGTGACCAGCCAAGCAGGAAGGAAGATAAAGGCTCTTTTTTAAAAACGAATCAGAGAAAGGGTATGATTCAAATATTTACTCAGAAGTTAATCTTACTGAATTTATAAGCCTTTTTCTTAAGTGAGTGGATGCAGAACTGTGACAAAATTACTTTACAAATATGTGAAAATCAGATTCTAAGCATGAGCCTCTACTAATATTGTACATTGTTTCATTATGATATAGTGAGTTACTAACATGAACAGCTACCCATAAAAAATAAAAACCTGGGTTAGAAGGTAAGGCACATTTATTTTCTGAGTGTATTTCAGAAACTTTATTACTGTCGTCGACTATCTTGAGAGAATCTCCAAGATGCTCTGTCACTCTATTCACAAAAGTCATCATGACAAAGGCAACAATCTGACAAATTCAATCTGAAACAATCAGGTTTGTCAGCACTCCAGAATAGACCAGGGTCAGGAAGCAAACACAGCAAGGACTCTATTGTTGTAGGGTAAAATAGCAGAATCTTGAAAGCCAGCCAGAGGTGGCATTCTTCCTCTTTTCTACCATACAGAATCAAGGCATGGGTTTTTTGAGTTTCTTTCTCCTGCTCTCTCATTTCCCAGAAATATGTTTTCATTTACTTTATCTTTTGTAAGAATTTATTAAACTTCTTTACCATTCAATCCACAACAGTTCTGGGTGGTTTACAATAATCAAAGAAAGATTACAATCAAGATAAAAGATGGCAAGTGCAATAAATCTTCCCTCCCCCAAATTTTAATTATTTGAATGTAGTTATTTTCAGGGGGGAAATTATTGCTTATTCTTCTACTGTAAATTGTCAAAACTGACTTGAATACTGAGAAATCCTTATCTCTATCGGGTGTATTATATTTGTGATAATAAACTATTTTTCTTGGGCATTTATATTTTTAAAAGAATGCAAAATTTATACTGCTAATAACTCCATGTGTGAATAAAAAAAGAAGTCTAGTTTCCTCATTGTTTGATGTAGCAGCTATAATTCGAAGACTCTGAAATCATTACAGATTCAGAAAGAACCCATCACATCATGAAGGTATATCCTTCCAATATCTAAAGCTACACCTACCCTTTTACAATAAACTTTCTTTCAAAATTAACACTTTTACTTACCAGGCCCAAAACTATTGGAAGGTAACTCTGTGTCTAAGCCACGTTTTTGCGGCTGTAAAGTTACAAGCAGATGGCCATATAGCCCAGTTTTTTGACAATGTAGTTCAAGCTTCAGTAAGCAAACTCCTTTGCGCTGCAGCTCTTTCAGGGAGATTCCTTCTTGCCATGCTCTGAAAAAGATCATGCAAAGAGAAAACTACATCATTGTTAACTAGGTACCACCTGAGAAGCTAAATCATATTGTGACCCTCTTTGCTTCCATCCAGAGAGAACATTGGCAGAAAACAAAAAACATCTCCCATATAGATAATAATGTTATTTTATTTATTTAAAAGATGTGGACAGTCACTCATCTTGAACAATTCTAGGTGACTCATAACATTGTAACAAGTCTTCTCAAACCTCCAATTATGTTGAACTAGAACATTTATAATTTCCATTTGAAGGACATAAAGTTAGATAAAACTATTTTAAAAATTCAGAGTCACTAACAAGATTAACAGATCATACTAAGCAATTACACTTAATCTTGGTTTAGCACAATACATAAAGCCAGCCAAACATCTAATAATTATGGCTTATAATTTACCGTGTGAGCTTAATTTTGAATTGCAGATAAATTTCCTAATCTATAAGTGAAGAAACCTTGCAATATCTCACAATATTCATATTTGTGTTTTTGATAGCATGTCAAAATTTCAAGACTGCTTGTTTTTTAGTGCCATAATATTTTGCATATGCTAGGCTTTGAATGAATCATGGAGTAAATCAAACCACTTTCTAACTCTTATGTCTATGTTTAGCAGGGATGCAGAAGATTTTGGGGTAGGGAAAACCACATATATGTTTTGAATGGCATGCCTGCAGCTACCTTCCCAAAAATAATAGATGTGGATAGGAATTTTTTGATTATTACAATCTCTTAAAGATTACTTGGGTCAATTTAAACAGGATTTTGTCCAAGTGTGATGATTGCTTTGATCATTTTGGTGGATGTTTTATGCTGGAAGGTAGATGCGGCAAGTACAACTATTCCAGTTTTTCTAGACCTTTCAGTACCCTTTAATAACCCTGACTGAGATAACCTTCTGGGCTACTTGGTAGGCATTCCAGTGGTCCTGACCCTTGCTCTCAGGATGTGTCCAGATAAGTAGTATTGGGAGATTACTATTTGATACATAAATTGTTGACCTATAGAAACTCATAGGAGTCTTCCTTGCCTTTATGCTATTAAACACATACATGAACATGCTGGAAGTCCTTCAGAGTAGGATTCATTAGTATGCTGCTAACACCTTCTCTATTGTTTCTCCAGCAATGCTGCTGCAAGGCAGAAAGCAGTGACCTTGAACATCGCCTAATTTCAGTTTTGTGCTGATTTCAACAGAAAAAGTTGAAATCAGAAAGTGAGGTGAAGCCTGTTTTATTTATTCTCTGGGCTCTTTAAAAAAACGTATCCAGTCAAAAGAAAGTGCCACTATATTCAATGCATTACTATAGGTACAGGACTTTCATCCTTTCATACTATAGGTACAGCCTTCAATCCTTTCTAAGGTGGGTAAAATGAGGGCCCGGTTTGTGGGGGCAATAAGCTGACTTTGTATAACATATACAAAAGTATGAAGGCTATTGCTTAACGCACTGTAAGCCGCCCTGAGTCTCCGGAGAAGGGTGGCATATAAAAATAAATTTAAAAAAAAAAACTTTCCCTTTTATGTCTTAGCTAATGTGTTATTCTAATTACCTGCAACTGTTATGATTTAGAGAACACATTAATCAGTAACTTCCAAGCAGCCCACATGTGACACCAAAACTATATTTAAAATATGAAATCCAGATACTTGATCTTAATGAATACTTTTAAATTATTAGTTTATTTGTAAGTGCTTTCAACTTTGCTATCTATAGAACTAGAAAGATATTGACTGGGTTCACACATAAAAATCTATGCTGTAATTGTTTGGATTAGCATACTTTGTAAACCAGTCATGATTAGCAAGCCAGTTTATCACTATTTTTGCTCTGTCATTCTGGTCAACTGACCAACAGTACCTATAGTTATCCTGAAGTAAATACCACACAAGTTTATAAAATTTAGCCCTCACATAAGTAGCTTGTTTACTGTGGTATTTATCTATTAAATATACAAATACACTACTTGTTTTTTTAAATTTTATTTATTTTTTAAAAAAAATAAAAAAACAAATACACTATTTGTTTTTTTTAAGTTTTATTTAAAAATAAAAAATAAAAAAAACCCTAATACACTATTTGTGTATTTACACAACTATTTGTTTCTAATAGACCCAATTCTCCAATGGCAGGTTTGCTTAACGGTTTCAAGTCTTCAGTTATAAGGCAGGGGATACAGATACTCAAAATTAAACAGTTTAATTGAATATAGCGGTAGCAAAGCTAGGTCAACCTGCTGTCCCTCAAATGTTTTCGATTACAGCACCCCATCAATCCTTCCTAATGAGCCTACAGAAAGACACCTTATCTTACCTGTTCTTGCCCTAACAAATGTCTATAAACCAGGTTATAAACCAACATTGGCTAGCAGCAATTTAGAATTAGGAAGCAGATATTTGAATAAGCGTGTTTACAAAGGTCAAAACATATAACTTAAGTCGTGGCTTAAATTACTACATTCCTATTTTTTGCTATGGGGACAGAGGGATGCTGAGAAACCCAACTGCCCCCTAGCCGAAGGGATACCTTGCTTCCGAAATTTCGGCCTCTCTTTCCTCCTTTAGCAACTCCATTTGCCGGGACACAAACTCTTCCACCGACGCCGCCATTGCTGCCGGCCCCGAGAAGCCCCGTTCTGGGGACAGCAGGCAACGACGTGCCGACCAACGAACGGCCCTTTAAAACCCGACTCTCGTTGCCCGACGGCCCCTATAAATGGCGCCCCAGCTGGTCCCAGGGCTTTACTTCCGGTTCCGTCGGGAGCGAGAGCAGGCGGGTAAAAACCTGGTCAGCTTGTAATGGCAATAGCGGCGTCTGCCTCCTTTGGTTACGGGCAGCTTCTTTCTCGCACAGGTGAGCGCGGGCTGTGATCTTTTTTAAACCCAACGTTTATTCGTTTCCGGGGTTGGTTACCTTTCTGGTATTTTTCTGTTAATGTGGCTCGGCTGTTTTATTCTGCACTTTCTGCCTGCATTATAATTACCCTTTGTGTTCTCTTTGCTGCTGGTTTTAAATCGAAAATCCTTTCCCTCTCCTGCATCGAGCTCTTGTTTATTCTGGCATTTTTCTTCAGGCAGCCTTCCTTTTCCCCCGACCCCATTCCCCATACACTCCCCATTTACTCTGGACTTCATCTCTGGGCGGTCGTGTAATTGAGAATGCTTTCCGATTTGTAATTCACCTCAACCAGGTGAGGAAGGGTGCTTCAAGTCCTGGATTATTATTATTATATACATACATACATACATACAATTTGTTTTGCCTTGCTTATTGTATCTTCGCTGCTAAGAGCAATTATGAATTATATATATGAATTCCTCATAATGCAAGTAATTCCTGTATTTATGGGGAACTCTTAAGAACAAAGCAAATTTAGTCAGGTTTTGAACTGCCAAAGCTCAAATGTTTCTTGCATTTTTCTCCTAAATTTCAGTGAGGCCTGAGTGATTGTATCCTCTGTATTATGTTTGCATGTTTCATTTATATTATTACAAAAATATGTCCAGAAAACTTGAAGCTATCTATTTTTGAAAATTAAAGTCTGACTCAATCCAAAATAGCATAATAATGGTAAGACTGATATTGCTAATAGTTTGTTAATTGCTAATTGTTTACTCTTTTCAGTCTTAATTTTATTAATTTGATAGTGTAAAATAGAATACTTTAAATATTCAACTTTTTTTCATTTGTTTTGGGTGCTTTGGTAGTTTATAACTAAACTGCTTCATAACTTATTTGTTTTAGCATTGCCAAATTGTTTTATTTCTTAGAATGTAAGTATATGATTAAATAAATGTTAATCTCCATTCCAATTGAATATGCTGTGATGGCTACATTCTTGTTACATGTTTTTGAAGTCTGGTAGTTTAAGTGACACATTTGGTAAATTACACTTATTTTACTCTTTAGTATAAATTCACTCAACGTTATATTTACTTGTTAGGTATGAATAGTATTGAGCAGCACCCCACATTTAATAAAGAGTAACATCTAAGTGCTCCAATGGCTGTCAAGATTGAGATCCTACTATTCCCTTCTTACTCTTTCAAGCTGGTAATATTTGAACAACACACCCACCTACTCAAATAAGCATTCCAAGAAAGTAAAGTTATTTGTCATTACATGCTTTGAAAGAGCTGTTTCAATTAGTATATGTACAATTTTTGTCTATCAGAAAAGTATTGCTATCAGTTGGAGCAAACTTAACCCTCAGGACTTTAGTCAGCAATTTTTGCTGGCATTTTCCTGCAGATAACTGTTATTGTTCATTTATTATTTATAAATGGGTAATTTTTATTCCCAGGTTCTATTATGTGTGTTATGTAAGTATATCTAAAAAGCCAAAAAATAGTTATAAAAGATCTTTGCCAGGAGGAGGAAAGTCTTGTTACAGTCTTATTCACCTGGGTTCAAATAGCATTCCCAGCTAAAGCAGTTAAAGGCCTAATAGCTGGGTGCACACCATATACTGAAATTTGGTTTGTTTTGTCCTTCAATGTGACATAAATTTAGCCTGTTTGTTATTGTGGTTCAGTGTATTGTGCCAAATTAAAGAGAGATTAATTTAGTTCAGATTGTATGAACCAACCATTTCAAACAATGGCTATATACCTGAAATGTCTAGAAACCTTCAAGTTCTCTGTATTATCACTTCTTCCTGTTTATGTTGGAGGTCACCCACTTAATTCTCAGTTTCCTGTTTATAGCATCTTACAATACCCTTCCCAATTTTTTTACTTTGAATTTTTTATTTTCTATATAAAAACAATTGTTATGAAAGAAGGAAAAGTTGCATGTAAAAAGGCATAAACTTAATCTTGACCATATGGAATATTGCTACTCAGTCTATCCAATATGTTTTCAAGAATTCAATTCATATTGAAGAGTGAGCACATATTTTAGGATTTAAGATCTGGTGCAGCATATTTTCATAATATTTGGCTATGCTCCAGTATGCTGCTTTACTGACAACTATGCTGATTGTCTACCTAGTACCTCATTAGGCCTGCCTTTATATCTGAAGCTCTTTATAATTCTCATAAACCAGAGGTTTAACTAATTAAGTCTGCCCAATTAAGTGAGATTCTTTACTGTTAAAATCTTGCCTCTCTGACCCCAAAAAGGTTGCAAAGATCTTTTTGTATGAATTGTAAAGTCTCTAAGGAGGAGTATGATGATTCCAATAGAACTTTTATTCTTCCTTAAAAAATGTAAACTATTCTTACTAATTCTAGAATTGGAACATCTTAGTTCTATCTGAATGACTTTTTGTCCCGGTTTCTCTTTCAGCATTTCTGTTGAGATCTACAGTTCGAAGTCTGAGTGCGCAAAACACTTCACCAGTTCAAGGGTAAGATCAGGACATTGCAGAATGTTTTCTTTTCTGCTTTGGTATTCTGATTTAGTTTTGGTTAGATTTATATAACAAATTTAACCTTTTAGCCTCAATGTTGTGTGAAGGCAGTATACCGTTAATTAACTAACATTTTACCCAAGCAGAAAAAAAGATATATTATTCAAATCATATTCATTTGAAATTGTGTTACTGCTAAATTGAAATTATATGAATAAGTTTCATGAATCCTTCCTTTTTCTCCCATTATTGAGCCATAATATGAGGACCCAGATTGTTGGGGGCAATATTCTGACTCTCTAAACTACTTAGGGCTGTAAAGCACTATGAAGCTGTACATAAGTCTAAGCGCTATTGCTATTTAGGGGCTCTTGAAAGACCGTATGGGTGCCTAGTTCTTTTTCTCTTCCTTCTCCTCCTCTCATGATTTTGGGAAACTTTTTACACCTTTTATGCTGTCGGGGCTTTGGGAAAATAGCAGTTTTTCTGTTGCAAATAATGGTACAGTTACTTACTTATAATTGTTAGTCACTTTAGAGTCTCTTTGTACAAAATGGCCTACAACTAAGCAAAATAAGCTATTGTAACAGAAGAAAAAAAGCATTCCAGCATGCAGGAAAGCCCATATTGATATCCCTTTTTTACATAATACAGGCCATGTTGTCTTTCTTGCAGTATTGTAAGACAAACCCCAATGCTGGGTAGTTCTGCAAGACCTATCTTTACATACTGATGTTATCAGACACTTGAAGCAACAGTTACATAGTATTTTAAATGTATAAAAAGTCTTTATGTCCTACTTATTCCTAAGAAGCATTCACTTCTTGCATTCATTTTCTGGTTTTCTCTTCTTTTCTGACTTCTTTTATAAAGGTAGCAGTCAAGGAAGTCATTGAGATTATCACCCCAGCAAAATGATCACTTTGCTGCACATGCATTTCTTTGCTTGAGTGTATAAACAAAATTGACAACATGTTTAGTTTTAGGTGGTCCAACCTTAAGGTATGACTGTCAACTTTGGAATAATTAGCCTGACTAGGTGGCTCAGTGGCTAAGACACCGAGCTTGTCAATCAGAAAGGTTGGCGATTCGAATCCCTAGTACAGGTCTCCTGCATGAGCAAGGGATTGGACTAGATGACCTCCAAGTACCTTCCAATTCTGTTACTGTTAAATAAACCAGAAAAGTACAACAACTTTAAATTATGGTTTAATATTCTCAGATTGCACCCAAAATTGGTAACTAGTTTTTCAATTCGGACAGAATAGATACCTACAGATAATTGAACAACTGATTTGCTCAGTTGTTTGAGTAGAGGTAAATATAGTATCTGCAACCAGAAGCCTTGCTTTGACTTAGTATATACTGCAATAAATTGTCTGAATTTCTTCATTACCTCTTAATAGTTTTAGCTGATTATTGGCTGAAAAAAATAAAAAATGAATTGTATGTACTGGCTTCTGAGCCTAATCATGTTTTTTTCCTACTTTGATGCAGTTCTAAAGTGTAACATTTCAACACAAGAGTTTGAACTTGCTCCCAGCTTTGCAGTACGTGGCATTAAAGAGATCACTTTAATGGTTGTAGTGCTCTAAAAATTCTCCCATTGTATAAAGGTACTCCAGAATATTCATAACCAGCACTGTAGAACTGAGTGGCAGCTAAGCATTAACCTGCAGTTGGAGATAAGAGAGAAAACAGATATTCTGTGCAACTTGTTCCAGTCCTCTTGCTGCATACCATGAAGTCAGCCAGTGTGAAGCTTGATGGAAACAAGAGCAGAAAAAGTAAAACACAGAGTCCTTTTAACTCAGCAACGCCTTCTAGTGGCCCAGGCAAAATGGCTACAGGAGCTACTTCTAAAATCAAGAGTTTCTCCTTGCCATCCATTTCTCCCATAGCCACTGTAGAAGCTGCCTCTATTGGCTGCTCTTCTAAAGCTGGGCCCAGTTTTCTGGATGCAGTTGTCCCCTTGAGTGTTAGCAGAGGCATGGATCAGGAAGAGATTCAGAAGGAACGCTATGGAGAGAGGACTCCCCTGCAAATTCCTAACCAAAGTAGAATATCAGCTTCAGCTGCAAAAGCACTATCAAAAATAGAGCCAATCAAACTCGATGAAGGTGTAGAAGTAATAGATCTCACCGGTGACACTTCAGTGGTTGATCTTACACATAATGATTCCATTGTACTTGCGGAAGAGACTAGACAACAGCAAAACCAAAAATTAAGAAGCCGACCGCTGTTCAACAGCTGTATAGTATGTAATGATAATGACAACGAATATAGTGAAAGTGAGTTGGCTGCCAGTAAATTGCCTAGAGAATTAGAAAAGGAGAAAATTGGAAGTCTGAAATCTTCAGGCACTGTGAATTGTCCAATTTGCATGGATGGCTATGCAGAAATTATCCACAGTGGACGACTTATAATGTCAACAAAATGTGGCCACATCTTTTGTAGTCAGTGCCTCCAAAATTCTCTTAAAAGTACAAACTCTTGTCCTGCTTGTAGGAAAAAACTCAATCGCAAACAATACCATCCAATATATATATGAATATATGGATGAATTTGGTAATCTAACTTCTCATTTGGCTGCTTTGTTTTTTGTTTATTTTATGTAAACTTAATTCTGCTTTAAGGAATATTATAGCTCCGTTTACTGGGGGACCATAGACTCCCATCTATTGAAACCTATGTTAAAAAAAACCTGTACAAGTAGTAAAGAACTTATTTTTTGTTTAATTGTAAGCCAGTTATAAAAATATTGATGCAATCAGGCAGAAGCTGATGAAGAATGTAGGGCACTGTTACAAGCATCTTATTAGAATTAAAATAATAAAACTCACTTAATGGAAAAACTTATTTAGTGAGAAAATTTCTTTTGTGTTAATAGAGCCCAAGTAAAAACGCTGAACTCCCAAATGGATAGGATTATAAAACCTAGAATTCAAATCTCAGACTATGTACATGGATATTATGTATACATGAATTTTCTTTGGTAGCCTAAATTTTCATTTTAATTGCATTCATAATTAAGACTCTTAATGGTAATAACTGAATGTACATCCTCTATTTGGACTCATATGAAAATTTTGTGATTAGTGACATTTTTGTCTTTAATGTGGGCAGTTATACAAACTAAATTGCCTAAAGAGCTGCTCTTTCCCATAAATAATAGCTAATAACCATTTTAAGCCTGTAAGAAATAAGAACATATAAGGAATAGATTTTGAGCATAAAAGTGATCAGTTGAATATTTGTAATAAACTGGTGGATGGCATGATGTTGTAATCTGATCTATTTAAGAATTTTAGTAATTCTAAACTAATTGGATTTATTAAATGTAACCTGTTATTAGCTAACCCTGGGTACCTATGCAATCATTTACTTCCAATCAGAAAGCCTAAACCTATTCTCATATCACTAAAAATGGACTAGCATGTTTACATAGTACAGCATGAACTATAGTCTGAGTCTCAGGTTCAATGAAAAAGGTGTAAATTTTTTCTCCTTAATGATCCCCCACAGTTGTTTCAGGGCTGGCTGTATAAGATAGTTAGTTACTTACTGAACTTCCTCATGTCTGGTCATGTAAAATTCTGTAATAAAGATCAACATTGGAGAAACGTGCAATGGCAGTTGAAAAGCCATATCCATGCTTATTGTAGAACTATTGTAAAATCAATTAATGAAGTTAAACAAGCCTTATATAAACTTGGGATTATGAATGCAGTTCTCTTCTTTTTCATGAATTCTCCTGCTTGAAATTATACAACTGTCTGAACAATAAAAGTTACATGCGTTTAAGGAAGGAAAGTGCACTTTTGATATTTGTTTTCAGAAGAGATGTTGGCTTAGTAATAAAGCTTTAAACAACCTTCAGATATTTGTTTCGTGTGTGTGTGTGTGTGTGTGTGTGTGTATGTCTGTGTGTGTATACACACGCACGCACACACACACACACGCTTCTGTATAGGCAATTGATTTTAATTTATGGAAATAAAGTTTTTGATGGTTTATTAAAAATTCATTTAATTGTCATGTTTTAATCATTTTTCAGATATTAACTATTTCCTTAGAATTGCTTACTGTCTTTTTTCTTGAATTGTAGAATTTTATCACAGGAAAGTACAGCTGAAAAATACAGAGTGGTTCCTTGGCAGAGAAGTAAATGGTTTCTTATAACTTAGGTTTATTGTTAACTAAATTCTTAATTAGTGTTTCCTAATACCAGTACCAAAATGCAGGTTATGGACAGACAGATAACATGTATTCTGAACCTTCGCAGATAACTGGGCCCTTAAAACCAGGACTTTTTAAAATACAGAGCAAAGGTTTCCGATGCTAGTAGGGAAGATGCTAACATTAAACCAGATTGCTTTTCATGCTTCTGCAGAGAGTAGCTTAAGAGAGCTTTGGAAAAAGATACAGCTGTGTTCAGGAGTTCCTGACAGGTGCTATGTGAGCATCTTGATGCACTACAGAACACCTTTTTTCCCTTTGACAGTTCCAATAGTAAAGAAGTACCATAAACTTAAATGGAAGGTATCTAACAAACTGGATGAAATGTTTTGGCCCCAGCAGGTGGCAGCACGTTTTGAACACCCTTGAAAAAGCTACAGACAGATGTGGTTAGTATTTGGGATATCTGATCACAGGGAGATAATTTGGGTGGTAAACTAGATTTGGAAGCTGAAAGGTCAATTTGGAAGAAAGCAGAGACAAAATGCTTCTTTGCTATTGCCACAATGTGCCCATCTGGTCCCCAGGGTTGAATTGAATGAATGTCTTTATGCCTGCCTTCTCTCCAGGAGGCAGAGAACATGCTCATGTTCGCATGAGACTCCTGGGGCTCTGTAATGTCCCTGTCTAGCCCTACAAATAGCTTTATATTCCTCGCCTCCCATCATAAAGTCAAGGGAAGAATAATGTTCTCCTGCCTGTTAGCTTCTTTATATTCACCCTTGTCTTCTGGCTGGTAAAGCACAAAAATGTGATTACATCACTACCTCAGGTATTTGGTAGGAAACACTTACCTTAGCATTAATAGCAGTATTAATAGCCATACATTCAGAGTCAAGGTAGCTCTTTTATGATATAATTGCTATTAAAATCAGATGTGCAATTTGGGCTTATATAATACCGTAACTTCATGCTCTTTAGGCATACAAAGTCAATATATTAAAACAAGAATTCTAGTCTCTCCCCCGACATATTGGTTTTTTCCTTTTATTTTAAAATACTTGAAGCATTCCTATTTTACATAAATATTCATCTCAATACACCATCTCTAGTTTTCATTCTGTGGTTTGTTTCTGGAACAGGTATGCGTGGTATTTAACCTAGTATTTTACTAGATGCAGTATGGACAGTTCTTAAGGCCCCTGGGATTGCAGAAGTGACACTGCTGTTAAAAGAGCTGCACTGGTTGCCGGTTTGCTTCCAGATCAATTCAAGGTGTTGGTCATTACCTTTAAAGCCCTTTATGGCAGGGTTCCAGGGTATCTGAAGAACTGCCTTACCCTGTTGAGATTAACCTGCCCCATTTGTTCCAGCACAAAGAGCTACTTCTGATCCTGTCAGCCAAAGAATTTTGGCTGGTAGGATCCAGGAGGAGGAGAACCTTTTCTGCTGTGCCCCCCTCCCTCTGGAATATTCTCCTGTCAGAGATGAGATCAGCCCCCACACTCCTGGCCTTCTGGAAGAGCCAAAAAATTTGGCTCTGCTGTCACTAAATTGGTAGTGGCTAATGGGATAGAGAAGATTCTCTTGGTTTCTAATTTTAATTTTTAACTTTTTATTCTATTTTTTTTTTCACTTTTTCACTTCTATTATATTGTTAACTGGCCAGAGTTGTATCGTTGAGATGGGCAGCATATAAATTCAATAAATAATAAGATACATTTGTGGATACCTCTGTTACAAATAGGCATTTCATGTTTTTCAAAGTTTGCTATGGAATTCTAGTTTACCACATTAACCAATTTGCCTGAGTATGCTTCTCAGACTGGATTATAAATCAACTATTCTGGTGGGACTCATACAACGCCTGAAGCCATAAATCAGCTGACCACATTTTAACTTAGCTGCTGCATGAACCCAGACAGTCTGAAGTGAAGTCTGTCCATTTTTAAGAATCAAACACATCCAGTAGCTTTCTTGACAATAATAAGGAAGTGGTTTACCACTGCTGACTTTGAGACAATGACAGAGAATGGAGCTATGCACATTGTACATAAATATCCTAATCCTCTATTGTCTGTGAACTCTCACCTCATTCAGAGAACAGCATGAAGTGAATTGGAGTTTTGCTACCACTTTATTCAGGATTTTAGTAAAGCAAAACCTCAAATTACACAAAAGAACTGTAATCATATTCTTTCACGTAGAAATTCAGCTTTCGTTCAAATTTCTACCTAATGTGGAGAGGGGGTGGAATCTTAACTCTAAAAGCAGCCCTATTTTTCATTGTGCCCTACATGCATTTGGTTCCTGCCAGAGCAGGGCTTCTGTCCAAACTCTGAATCTATTAGGCTCTTGGGGGCCTTTTCCAATGCCTAGCTGAGGTTTTCCATCCTTGGCAGAAAAATAATTGGTGTGGAAATTGCCATTTCCATTGCTGATCCCTGTCCTGCCTCTATTGCACATCACTGCCCCCACCTGATTTCCCTCCAGATTAACAAGCATTGTAGATTAACACATTGTCTCCATCTTGAAGCTGCCTTTCGACTGAATTGGGAATAAGGGATAAGTAGCACTTTAATAAGAGTTCAGCTAAGGCTGGTTTAATTCTACCTCATGGTTGGAAATGAGTTGAAGACAATATCACAGAGAAATAACAAAGAAGAAAAAATGTTGCTGGGGAGCATGTACTATAGAAAAAAAAAAAGGTTTGAATAACACAGGTGGGTTAGCCAAAGAATACTGGTTTGCATTGTATTGCTAGTTTTGTTGGGGACCAGAGCGAGACCTATTTTAAAATTATTCATTTCAAATGATAAATGCAAAAAACAAAAAGATAAGCTGTATGTTTTTCTAATGGAGGTTAGAATTTAGATTTGCTCCCTTTGGGAAAAGACATAGTTTGCATTTATCATACATGAGTGCAATGTGGATCTTTGGGATTCTCCATGCTTTATTACAGTAAATGGCAGTGAGAGTTTGAACATCTGCTGCCATCTATTTTTTGGAATAAAAAGTATGTGCTTTATTAGCAAAACTGGCTGAGAGGCAAGACTTTTCTACCAGGTCTAGGCCAGTAATTCTCTTAAGTATAGAACACTGGGATCCAGCAGGTAGTCCATTCAGTCACCCAAGATTCAAGGGCCAGAAACCACTCACTACCTCAGTCTCCTCCATTCTGCATATACCCTGACTCATAGTAATAGATCAGTGACTGGAAATTGGTTCACTGAAGCACACAAGAAGAAATACAGATGGTAATATGATTTCTAAAATTCAGAAAACTGACAGCAAACAGGGCTTGAGTACTCTGTTATTAACCAAACTCATCTGTGCTAGTCTAAATGAAATTGTGATCTTGCACAAAAAAACCCAAAGAAAAGTGCAAGTCGGAAATAAAAGAATGGCTATTAAACTCTTTGAGCAGGAGATCCATTCACCTCTAGCCCCTCAATATTTAGAAAAGTCTGTTAAAGAAATTCCTGACCAGATTAATGCTAAGAGTTGTTATGACATGAAGTACATGAAACAATTCAAGTGCAAATATTTAATTTGGGATTATATTTTTGGTTCAAAATTTACTTTTAAAAGACTTTTAAATATAAAGGGGATGAGAAGGCATACATAAATGGAACTAGAATTGGCTTTTTTTGTCCAAAAATGAACTGTTTTCTTGAAACCAATCAAATAAACCATCTCCTTATTTTTTTTCCTGTCAGCTATCTTTGAAACCCACAAATTTCTAACTGCTGCTTTCCCATATCTCTTTGCCTCTTCTCTCAAAATTCTTGTCACTTTTATCAAAATCCCTTAGTAGTTCCAGTGAAACAGCTCCATTAAATTCCTTATAATTCAAAATAAAAACAATAATAATCAACATCACTATTTTAGCTTATTCTATAGCTTTTTAAATGTTTAAGTCATCCAATTCTATTTGTCAGCCCAATGTTCCCTTCCTTTCTTGTAAATTGTAATTTTAAAATCCAACTTAATCTCTGTTTCAATATTATTCAATGAAGCTTGTTCCTCTGCAATAACATGTTTTGATTCCATTGCAGAGTTAAACAGCTTGAGAACCAAGTGTCAAATGTTTCCTTTAAAGTAGCCATCGGTGCCCTATAATGTCCAAACTTTCAAAGACTTGTTAATCAGTTTGTAATGTAAGCAAAAAAAATAATTCTCATGAGAAGAGGGTCTTTTTAATAACTTTAAAATTTTTTTAATTCAAATTCATCTGAATCTTTAATCCATTTACAAAAAACTTTCTAAAATCAAAACTGTAATAACCCTTTTGTTGTGTATTGCAAAAAAGAAAAATTCTTAAAACTGTATACGTATAATTTTCTTTTTTTCTAAATGGATTGAAGAGAAACAGGAGCCTTGATGGCATGGCGGACTAAAGTGCTGTTAAGTAGCACTTAGCTGCCAGCTGCCTGCAATTACTGCAAGTTCAAATCTCACCAGGCTCAAGATTGACTCAGCCTTCCATCCTTCCGAGGTAGATAAAATGAGGACCCGGATTGTGGGGGCAATAAGCTGACTTTGTATAAAAAAGAACACCTCTTAGGGGCGGCCGAAAGCCCTACTAAGCAGGTATATACAAAAGTATGAAGGCTATTGCTTAACAC